CGCTGGTGGTACACGCAGTTTCATGCATGCATAAGAAAGGCCTCACACACTTTGTTATGGATGGACAATATCATCCTGCTGCCTCTCTGTTGCCAACCTGTGTGCGTGTTTGTGTGTGTACCAGTATGCATTACGCAAATGCATATGTGCAGATTTAGGTGTTGAAGGGGAGCCTGTAGATTAGAGTGAGTGAGGACTTGTGAAGCGAGCTCATTAGAGAGCTGGAAAAAGCTTCAGACACCACAGGAGTTCAAATGATGCACAATCATTGTGCCTCAATTAGTGTGGAAAAACACTCTTGAAATAGATTCTTGCACACAGAGTAGCTCTTAGTAAACTATGCTATGAAAGGTAGCCAAACATGCTTAAAAGTAGACACTAAACATTTGCTGTAATGTTCAAAGAGCTACTTTAACACATCCTGCCTCAAATGGCCCGATGTATGTAACCTTAAGCACATCTAAAATACATCAAAGGGCAATGTCCCCTGCAGCGGCGGAGCACTCAGTGCATCACTGAATGGGGGATGCTGCCAGGCCTCGAATAGCTAAATGAACAGACTCCTTTAATGGCTGAGGCCGTCTAATTGGCTCCTGTGGTGAGGCCATCACTCATGACAGACTATTTATCCTGGTCTTATCTCTGGAGAAGAGCACGACTGGATTGGAGGGGCTGTGAGTAAAGAGGAGGGGAGTGTCTGTCATGCTGGCATGGTTAGAGAAAGAGGCAGGCATCCAACCTGCCCCCCCGAAGCCTAATCCTTCACCGAGGGCTCGGTCAGGACGGGGACACAGGGGTGACGTAGAGGCTGAGCCCGTTGGCTTAAATCCACAACAAATGAAAACAGACTCCAGCCACCATTTTAATTGTGTCTAATGCCTGGCATAGCTCTCCCCCTCTATCCCTGTGTTTCATCCCCCACTCTATCCCTTAATCCTGCACACATGCACACACACTCTTTCATTTAAAAAGGAACATTAGAAATTGGAGAGGCACGGGGAGCTGCGCTGTGCCAAGCTGGCAAATGAGATTCTCCTTTTATTATAGCTTAACAAGATGACTAGAGTCTGTCCAGAGTTTAACACTCGGCTGAGTGGTTGCCGTCCTTCAAGTCTGACTGTCTGCCAGCTGGGCCCGTGCAGTCTGATGAGTGAGTAGAGCTGGTCAGCGCTGGTGTCTGGTCTCCTTGTATTCTGTCATCATTAGCCAAGCTGCTGCCTGTCACTACACTGTTCCACTAGACATCATGACTCCTTTACATCACTCTCAAACCAGGGGCAAATATGTCTTCTCCAGGCCAGGAGATGAGTGGACCTTGACAGATGGTCACAGTGCACCCCCGTCTTTTTTCTTCTTTTTTTTAATAAAGTCCAGTAGTTCCCTTTCAGCCACATCAATCTGTTGCAGCTCCACCATTACCCTGCAGTCTTAATGAGGCCCCACTGCCTGACAAGCCCACTCACGCTAAGGGAAGGAGGGACGGGGAAGAAAAATGAGTGGAAGAAAAGGGACAGGAGCAGGATGATTTAATTCATCTCCATACTCATAAAATAAAATAAAAATGGTACAATCCGCAGTGGGGAAGAGAGGAGAAAACACTTTAGAATTTAGAATCTAGAATACAAGTTTGTGCCTGTGACCTCTCGTATCTAGCCTTGGCCAAAAAAACCCAACCCCTCACTAATTAGCTTGCCCTTTATTCAATTAAATCCCCCTCCCTTAACATATTGAGGATTAGCCGGCTTTCTATAAATGACGAATGTGATATGAATAAAATGTCACGAGGTATCACTGGGAAAGGGAATTTTGTCTGTACCGACACAGGATCACAGGGCTCGTCCTTAATTATAGTCTCAGCTAGCCTGGAGTTTGCCTGCGAGCTGTGGTTATTCAAGCAGCAGTGTGTGTAGGTGTGTGTGTGCGCACAGATCAGCCTGAGAGAAGAAGCCTTGAGATTGTGGATTAGGGCCGACTGCAGTCACTACAATTTTCATGGCCACGGTGTGAGCACACACTGAGCCCTTCCTAACTTTGTGCTGGAGGACACATATCATGCTAATGAAACAGACTACGCTGGGTTGGCCTGTGTTCTTCGCTGACTGTCTCTATGGTAACCGTGCTAATAACCATCACTTGGGGAACAGGCCGTTCATACAAAGTTCAAGTGTTGGTTGCCAATATGTAACAACATCACAGATTAGTAATGTTGCATCTGTGACATACACAAGATTGTGAAGCAAACATGGCTGCCGCTGATGTATGAATGTACCTTCATGAACCCTGAAATGGTTTGCAGGAAGCTACACGGTACAGTGGTGGTTCTAGGGATTTCCCCTACTTGGTGCATTTTCATTTTTACCAAGCAACTCACACATGATCAAATTCTATTAATAAATCATATTATCTTTAATGCCTTTTTTTCTTGTTTCTCACATTTGAGTGAATTTGAGATCTGAATTCTCAGCACATGATGGTTCCTGTGTTCAGTGTAGTATCCTCTGACACACATATAGTTGCCAGTCTCCTCTTTTTAGTGCAGCAAGGCTCTTCACCACCTCCCTGCTTCTACGCAGGTGCACAACCAGCAAGCAGGAGCCACTAGAACAGTGACAAGGACATGGTCCTTCACCGGGTAGCTGATTGTGAACATTGCCAGTTATGTTAAATAGGGCAGACGGCCAAGCAGGAAGCACCAAGGTCTCTGCCAAATTGGTCCCTGTAGAGCCTTTCGCCTAATACTGAACTCTTTCTTATAACAGGAAACAGTTACCTTCAGGACCAGAGCATCCTTCCACATCATTTTCTCTTCCACAAAATGATCATCATTCAAGCATCATACAAGGATGCACTGCTTTTAAAGGGAATGAAAACAATGACATTATTGGTCATAATAGCAATCGCATTCGCAACTACTGATAATGCATTCATCCTGATCCCACCCTCTGTACCTTGTGCTAAAAATGGCCACATCAACAAAGCACAGCTGCTATGCACCACAGTCCCTTACATTATGTTCACTACAATCTGCAGGAGCTTGTTTTTTATTTTATTTCTTCCTAATATTGCAACGAAAATGACTTTTGGCAGGTAACAGATTTTGAATGTAATGTTTTGGTGCAGCTTGTGAACTCAGCCCCCCTACAGGTACATACCTGTCAATGTCAGGTTCTCTACTACACAGAGAATGCTTTCATGGCTTGCACTCCAAACAGCTCCACAATAACTGAATTCTAAAGGAAAGATAAACAACTACCATTTCACTGAGAACAGTAATGTGACTTGACATCAAATACTCAGTGCAACTGGAGTGCTTACTTGCTTGTTTTTGTGCCTAATACATACTGGTCTTCATGCAAGAACATGCTTGTATTATTATCCTGACGCTTTCTTCAACTCCTCCAAGTCGGATTCATTAAAATCTCTGTACAGTCTCTGAACTGTACAAACTGCTTGTTTCAACCTGATGAAAGGCAACTACACATGAGTAGCTGCACATTTGTGACATTTGATCTTAAAAGCAAAGTAGTCCATGACTTAGATGGGAGCAGTCAAGAGGATATGAGAGTCATGGAGACGGATGAGACAATATTATACAGCAGGTGATGTTACAGTGGCAATGAAGGAATGTAACCTGGTCACGGACCTGCATAAAGACCCTCAGACTGAGATTGCTCCACTATGTTTTCACCAGGTAGTCTCTAACTGTCTGCTTTTTGGTGCTGAGCAGCTAGCATACAGTGGGTTGTTGGAACTCTTTCACTGAGAAACAACACCATAAGAGCGTTGAGAGCAAACCACCAGTACATTTGCAGACCTGACAGCTAAACAATGAGCTGAGACTCATTATAATGCCCCATAAGGCTGAGGGGAGCTGCGGATTCAGTTGATAATTCTCTGTAGGTTCACACTGCCATTTGATACATTGTTATAATAAAAATATTGATAGTAGCAGTAATCGTGCAGTGTGCTGGGCGGACGTACTGAGAATGACTTGTCAATCACAAGGTAACCATGCCAAAAAGCATACCCTGCATTATTGCCTATTTACTCAAAATTGGACCATAATTTACAAAATGAACATCGTGTTCGATGGAAGAAGCCTTGAGACTAACGAATGAGACAATACACTAATCCATCTCACCTACATAAGAGTGCATTAGGGGTGGGTAAAAATATCGATTCATCAATGCATTGCCATATATTTTTTCCCTATTCAATATCAATTCATCAAATCCTCTGAATCGATTTAAGCCCCTGGCCAGTGGGGGCGCGGTGAGCAACACCTATGTGTGATTTGCATTGTACGGACGGAGGCCGCACTCGACCACACAACAACAACAACAACATGGCAACCGAAGCAGGTAGCAGCAGTGTTAAACCAGCGCCTTCAACTTTAAAAGCAGTGTAAACCCGGAACACAGGAAATAGACAAAAGTAAGGTAGTGTGTAAGCTGTGCCAGGCAGTACAAAAATAACACAACAAATTTGCGCAACCACTTAAGCCGACACCATGCAGATGCTCTGCGGCTAAACCTGTGGATTCAAAACAGATGCAACTCGACAGATCCTTCCTTTGCAAACTGCCGCCAAACTCTGCCCGCACACAGAAGATAACGGAGTCTGTGGCCGTCTTCATATGTAAGGACCTACGGCCGTACAGTGTCGTGGAAAACGGGGGTTTTAAGAAAATGGCAGATACACACTGGAACCACGATACGCCATACCAACACACAAACACATGACGGAAGTCACTGTCCCGAAGCTGTAATTTACTTATTACTGAATCGATATCGAAGCATTTAAAATCAATATCGAATCGAATAGATTTCGAACCGAATTGTGACCTAAAGAATCAAAATCGACACTTTACAATACCCAGCCCTAGAGTGCATGCTATCGGGCTTGCCCCCTGCTGGCCTTTACATAGAATACATGCTTAAGACACTTCCACGTCAGCTCTGTGTACTATATACTGTATTGTGGTCAATGGTTCTACTTACCCCTGCTCCTCCATCATTTCCTGGAGCTCCATACATTTGAGCTCTACCCTCCTCTTCCTCTCATGGTCCAGAATCTCTCTGTGTGGCTTTTTCACCAGGACAGGCTCTGCTTTGGGATGCTCTTCCTCCTCCTCTTCCTCCGTGCCTGGCTGCCCCTCCTCAGCTTTAGCTTGCAAGGCTGCAGTCGGCGTCGGCCCTCCTGATCCTACAGCTGTTCCCGCTCCTGCCCCTGGGACCACGGGCTGAGCAATGCCGTTTGCACCATCCTTAGGAGATGGCACCCTTGCAGCATCATACATGATTACTGAACTCTGTGGAGACACAGATGATGGAGAGAAAACTGTCATATGAACAACTGGAGTTTTTCAGTCTTACACAGTCTCATTTTATGTTAATGATTGAATGTCCAACCTTCCCAAGAACCCTCATTTGGGAGGATTTATTACTGAATTATATGCACTTTAATGGTGGAGGGAATAATTCTTATACACATGGCATGAATTTAGTAAAACATTATATAAATTAGGAAATTATTCACTTTGAAGACGGACTAGAGCCACCTAAAGGCCCCTTTATGGTCCCTGTTTGACAACTGCAAAGCTGCCGACTGATGCACAAGTTCTGTACAACAGCGTATTCGTAAGGACAGTAGAGTTGACAACACACAATGCAAGGGGAGCTGAGATGTTAATACATCAGGGCAGGCTGCTGCGTTTCTGCCTGGACTGTGCAGTACTCTTGGCACACATCAACATACTCTACACTCATGCACACACACACACACACTTTGGATCTCGAGTACATGTAGACATGCATTACCAGCGACAGTGCTGGCAGCAACTTCTGCTCCATGAGTCAACAGCCCAGTAGTGCCTAGAGGCAGGTTAGGGGGAGAGAGTGAGAGTTAAATTCCTCTTTAAAATGCTCTTATCTCCTAGACCCAACCGAAGCTGAAAAACAAGGTCATATTCCATACATGGATGAGAGTGGACACAGAGACTGGGAGATGTCCGTAGCAACAACAGAGAAGAATGTGGAAAGTATTGATTTGTCTTCAATGTAACCTGACTGACTTTACTGTATCAAAACTGAAAGAATTCTTTGCTTCTTGCTGGCCCGACCTTTCTGTTTCTGGCTTGTTTACTGATGAAATGATGAGCTTGTCATTTTAGTGAATAAAAAAAAAAGTTGTCCGGTACAAGTGCTGCATGGACCTGACTCTGATTAAGATAGATTGTCCTGTTGAGGCCAGTGTAGAACATGCAGGAAGAGAGGAAGGCCTTCACGTGCCCACAAGCCTCGGCTGCCCAGAACCAGTCTTCTCCCTGTACACCTAATGGCTTCATTTTTCACCGAGGAGCCAAAACAGCCCAGCTGAGGCACTTCATCACTGTCACACATGGAGGAGAGGAGAGAGGATGACACTGAGGCCGAAATGGACAAACCTCCAGTACTATACTCGCATCTCATCCCCGACTTATTTCATCTAATCGTGAGTGTGCGAGCAGCTTGTGCCTTGTAAGCAGGCGGTCCTCTCTTTTGGAGCCGGTTCTGGAAGTCTTTGACTGTTTAATAGGGATGTGCTTATTTTTGAAGTGCTGCGCGCTGGTAAACGAGCCGTGGATCTGTGCGTAGCGACACGGCTCTCGGCTGACAGAACAGGTGGCAGGACAGCAGGAGGCATCGTCACTGAATCTATTATACAGTAAATCAGCACTTGATATTCCATGACAGCAATCTCTCATCCGCACACACTCGTCACAAAACAACTCTGTAGAAGGTTGTGGGGAGAAAAGCTCTCCCTGGTCCTTTAAAATGACATTCAGGTAGACAGGAGGAGCATAAAGGACCTATGTGTGAGGCTGGAAGGAAGTCAATTAATATGATCTTGTTTTCTCCTAATTGAAATGTCAGAACAGAAACAATGGGTTGTGCTTCCTGCTTCCTGTTTTGCAGTTTTTTTTTAATTAGACCAGGTGGTCAGCGGCTGTGAAAACTTGAGCTGGACTGCTCGGGTCTGGATCTTTCAGCCAGAGGGGAGGACCATTGCTAATCCCATCATGTCTTGGCCACTGGGTCTTTCCTGCTAACAAACCCCACAATTTTCACCATGTGCACCAGACTGAACATAAGAAGCTGTTTGAAATTCAGCAGTAATGAGCTTAGATAAAGTGAAGATATCATCTGAAAATCTGCGGGAAAGGACCCTCCCATCAATCCCTTCAAATGCAAAATCTCCACATCGCCAGATGTTGGAGTCAAAGGCTGCGGTCAAAGCTACAGTCTGTGTTATACCACGCTGTAAATATCAAACCATCTCATTATACTAATGCATCATTCCACAGTCATTCCTTTTGTTCTCAAGAGGGCAGGGAATCTGTTCTCTTTCAAGTTAAGACAACTAAATCATTTAATTGTGTAGTGAAAAAAATCAGAGCAGAAAGGGAGAGTTGTCAGTGAGCTGATAAGGCAGCAGAGCACGCAGTTAATTGTGTGCGAGTCCTCTACAGGGACTGAAGGTTATCTGGAGCTGCTGTATTAATGGTGGCACCAACCTATTCTGCTGTTATTGCGAGGGCGTATAAGACTGTCACATCTTAGCAAACACAGTATGTAATTAGTCATTATGCTTAGTGAAGTTGTTTAGCCACATGTACTAAGTGTCACAATCAGTTATTTCAAATCGCAAAGAGCTAATGTGCACTTGAACACTCAATATTGTATTTTGGAGCAAAGACACTGATTGGTGCTAGAAAGAAAAGAACCATAAGCTCATGACTTCTCTCCATCGAGTGAAAGGAGATGCTTCCTGTCCCCTTAACCCTTGCCCATGGTTTCCTGTGCGGTTTGCCCGATTGGATGCTGCTGCTGTACAGGCCTCTGCTGTGTCGGCACTGCAGCCCGTCTCCTGCTGACATCACACCTTATACAAGAAAACTAGCCCGTAGCGTCAAATAATGGCGAGCGGTAGTGGATGTGAGGTGCCTGTCCTCACTATGCATTGAAGGGATGCTGTAATTTCCATACAAGTGTCATGATCCCTCAATGACACAGTCGCTGGGTGCCCACGCAGGGCTGACTCATCGGATACATACAGTAGATGGATCACGCACTTAAAGCTCAATTAATGAGGATAATATTCACCTTGGCCACACAGTGAAAAAAAATCGTATTCTCATTAGGAATCTAATGCTGCATTATGCTTATGAGACATTAGAAAGGGGATTGCCTGGACTTGAGCCACAGTGTGATTATAGTTATTTTTTAATTTTTACATGGGGGATCTTATCTAAATATACCATTAACGAAAAGTAAATGACATTGTTGGCACTATACTCTGCAGCCCCTGTGAGCTTTAATCTGTTCCTTGATTATTTTGCCTGAGTGCCTCTTTGGATGGATAGATAACCAGCTGACTGCCTGTGTCATTAAAAGCAAATTTACACAAGGAGTTGACCTCAGGAGGAATAAAAGCAGGTCAGTGATTTTCTGTTTGGAATGACATGATTTACTTACATTTTACCACTAAGAAAAACCTGCATAGCCTCTTTACCATGATAATATCTACTGCAGGTCTATATATATGACAATATAAGTGCAATTTACAATACACATAGTTTATTTGCAGCAGGGCTCTGTGGATGACACTGTCTGCGGTTGATACACCACTTTGATCCAGACTGAAATATCTGGATGGGTTGTCATGAAAATTGGCACAGACACCCACGGTGCCCAGAGGATGAAATCTTTAGTGATCCCCTGATTTTCCCTCCACTGCCACCATGAGATTGACATTTATGGTTCAGCATGAATCGTCCTGATATCTATTGGATGGATTGCCATGACATTTGGTGCAGACATTGAGTCTGTTTCCATCCACCTGCTTTTACACATGGTTTCAACATGCACATAAAAATCCTCCTGTTTTTACGCTTGGCTGAGAACAGAAAATGCAACAAAGTGCAATGGCAACACACTTAGTGAATAAATCATGATGTACATGAAGCACCTGACTTAAACATTGCTCAAGCTTCCACTGAAGAATGAAATGATCAGATGAGCTATATGTGCAGCGATGAGGAGGCTGTAACCTTACATGACACAAACATGTAGTCCTGGTTTCATTTGATGGCAGTGAAAATGTGAAAGTAATGGTCAGGCATGAAATGTAGTATTTCTGTCTATAAACCAAATATTAGATAAAACATTGCAGCTCGGCATCAACACATTAGAACTTTTAAAATGTCATAACAATCATTGTCAGTTGTATTTATGAGGGAAGAATTTGGCAATTCTGTACTATTAGTTCTTCACCTGCTCCATCAGAGCTGATAGAAAATGAGCAGTTTGTTCTTTACACGGTATGTTTTATATATCAGTTTTCTTTACAAGGTAAATCTTCACAGCAGGGTGCTTTCAGTGCTGAACATATGTATGGCCATCTGTACATTTAGTCCTGTTAATGTAAATACTGCAGACACAGCCCAAAACGTATAACTAGAAGAGAGTCAACAGATTCTGTGCGTGCATTTTTCATTCTGCAATAAATCTCTACAGTTATAAATGAACATTGGGAATTGTAGGTACTACAGCCTGCACTTGCCTTTTAGCAAGGATTTTTTTCAGACAATATAGATTTGTATATCATCCAACAGTGACATATCATCAATAAGGAAGGTAGAAATGTCTCTAAAGTACTATTGTATTACTGCTGGCCACTGCAACAATCCAGCTAAATCGCAGGAATAATTTCTGTTCCATCTTATCATATCTTCTACCTCTTATTTTGATGCCTAATTAAATTCCATCGATAGGTTAATGGCACTGACTTTGCAGTGAGAGTGGAAAAACACACAAAGACAACAGCACACTTCTATTTATCTTGTGTCTCAGAAAATCCTAGGCTTGTTTAAGTAGGTTTCATTCCTCCTGCTACATTCAAGAGAGAAAAGCAGAGAGGTAGGGACTGGACTCCTTGGAGCCACTTTCCTCTCTAAAAGCCAACCCCCCTCCCCACACTAACCCGTCGCCCCTCTCTCACCGCGCGCCAGGTCACTCTGTATTGTGCACAAAGGCGCCAATGATTGGATCTCACTCAGCGGTGGTTGCACCTCAGCCATGATTGCAGGGTGGCAGTAACAGGGGGCCTGACCTTGACTGAGACTGGCAGAGAGAAGCTAAAAAAACATCCTGGGTGGCTATCTCTCAAAAGAAACAGGAAAAAAAAGAAATCCCCCTGTGAAAAGAGAAATATTCTGAGTCAAGGTAGGTCTTCTGGATATGCTTTGTGTGCACATGTCTTAGTAAGACC